CGGTGCCCGGAGGAGCCCACGGCGGCCCCGCGGCAGGTACGTCCTCCCTCCCCGCACCCCTTAACGCACCAGGCCCGCGTCCTTGGTGGCCCCCGAATATGGGCAGAACGCCGGTGCGGGCGCGCGGAGCCCGCGGGGAGCCGCCCGGCCGAGAGCCCGGTGCCGCTGGAGAAGCCGAACCGAGCATGGCAAGTCGGCCCGGCGCGCACGGAGGGGCTGCAGCCTGAGCGCCACGCGGCCCCCAAAACCACCGTTTCCATCCAAACACCTGTGCCCACCTGGAGCGGCTCACAAACCCCACTGCGACCAACTCTGGAAGGGCCCCGGCCGCGGGGGAGGGCCTTCCCTTCCGGGGAGCCCCTGGAGCTATGGAACATTTCCGTTGGCTCCAAGGTGTGATTTCCCAGGCCAAAACCCACTTGCTCCCTCTGTTCCTGGGCCCACGGGTATTCCACAGGTGCTCTGTAGCAGATTTAAGCCTTGAGTTGCAATATCGTCTATTAAGTACAGGTTGATCCAAACTTTCTGAGACTGGAATTCTGAAGGTGTTTATGAGAAAAGCGGACGTCTGCAGTTTTGTTTAGCATTTCCCCCATAGTTGTATCACTAGGTGACGTTTCTTTGGGGTCACTGAAACCAAATCTGTGTGCGTGCGCGTGTATGTTTGTGCATGCATCTGCTGGGTTCTGGGGCTTGAACTCAGGGTCTGGGTGTTGTCCCTTAGCTAATTTTCTTAAGGGTGAGCTATATCTCAGCTAAAGGTAAGATCAGAGGAGTTAATTTCATTTTAAGTTTGTTTTTGTTTTTGGAAAGCAAACCACTTATTACCTCCATTACAAATGCTGAGGGACAAGCCTTTTTCCTGATAGAGAAAAGTTCAAGAACTGGTTCTCTGACAGTCAGTGCCAGTGAAATGCTAGGATTCAGGAGCCAGAGCACAAACAACAGGGCACAAAGGAAGCCACTAGCAGAACTTAGCATTTCAAAGACGGGAAAGGGGGGCAGGAGACAAAGCAGCAGGAACTGTTTTCACCAGGATCAATTTTATTGCTTAGGAACCGGGCAGTCTCTTCCAAAGGCCTTCAGAAGAAGGATGCAGCGGAAACCAGACAATCTCCAGTGGTGGCCGAGATGTGGCATGTTGACAAGCATAGACCACAGCACTGCGCAGACCGGACCACACCTCCCAAGCCCAGGCCGGCCTGCGGACACCAAGTGACTCTCCAGGGTAGTGATTCCCACAGAAACACGCGAACTCACGCCTCCGCCCGGTCCAGGAACTGTAGTGTTCAGAAGTAAATCAATAAACGCACGCTGTGTCTCTTTTGGCAACAGGCTCTGCGGCTGCCTTCCGCGCGGTACTCAGTGCTGGGAGCCGAGTGTGGGCAGCAGGCCACCCGCAGCCCCGCAGGCCGGCAGCCACAGGCAGCCCAGCGTCCCTTGACACACGGCCCATGCTGGAAGCGATCCGTGGGAAGCGGACGAGGCTATTTCTAACTCTCCCACTAGATTATGGTTTTATGTAGGATACTTGGCACCATAAAACGGTAACAAAAGACAAAATGGTTTACAAAATTCTTAAAAGGTACACCAGGCTAGCTACAAACTTCACATTCAGTTCTTAATCTTACACAGAGGAAGGCAGCGGAGTGACAAGGGCGGGGACCTGGGTAGTGGGGCCATTTCTCCGGCACTGCAGGTCCTCCGTCTGGGAACTGGTGTTGGCGTGTGTCACTCAACTGCTGCCTCAGTCTACCTGCCGATGGGACACGCGTGCACTCATACTGGAAAGTATATTCAGCGTAAGTTTTGGTAAGATTTATAAATTATTTTAAAAAGTATATATTTATATGTATTTATATATATAAAAATGGAAAGCAGCTGCAGTGTGATTCAGAGGCCATGTCACATGGCAGTAGAGTCAGACCACGGGCCCCACCCCCGCCGGGCAAGGGCCCCGGCTCCCGGGCTCTACACTGGAGAAGCTCCTCCACAGACACTCAGGACAAATGGAAAAGTGTGAGTCTAAAATACAGAATCTCTGCTTGTCTATTAGAGTTTTGGCAATAGGACTGTGACTTATTTAAAAACCCAGCATGTCTACTTAATGTCACACGAACAGACACAATGGTGAGGTATGTGAGGCTCCACAGGCTGCGGAGGCTGAAGCGAAGTGTGGGCCGGCGTCTGGCAGGCAACGCTGGGCAGGGACCGGTGGCGGCTGGAGTAGCTTTGATACACTGCTACAGGGAGGGCTCACCGAGCGCCCGGTCCTGGCGCTGGCTCCTCTTTCCTGAAGGGAGACGAGTCGTTCATTAAGGGAGCAAACACACCAGGAAAAGCTGCAGAAAGGAGAACTAAGGGAAGGAGCCATATTTACCAACACGTCACTGCACGACACAACACTTGTGCACATGGGCGTGAGGTTTACCTGCCCCGGGTGCGATTCGGAAGGCCAGGAACACGGGCTGCAGCGGGGAGAAGAAAGGGTGTCAGCAGGCAGGCCACGGGCCCACAAGTCTCCTGGAGGCTGGGGCGGAGTCCACGGGAGGAGACTGGGTGTGCACAGGCAGCACGGAGCACAGGATGTGGACGAGACCGCCTGAGCCGTGAGAGGCTTCAGATAGCCTTCGTGTTCACAGGGAAGGTGCTCAGGCAAAAAGGATGTCAGTGCTGGGTGCAGCGCAGCGGGGAGGGGTGCGTCCACCCGGCAGGGTCGCATGGACCCCTCCACACCGCTGGGTCTGCAGGGCTGCCCGCCCCCAGGCCGTCGGTACAGACGTCCAGTGCCCGTCCCAAGCAACCGGGCCCATGGGACACCTATTTATCACTCTGACTGGCTGACCTGAGTGCAGCACAGAGCCCTAACCAGTCTTCAAAAACAACCAGTCGAGACACGGTGTTTTACGAACAATGGCGTGATGAATTTTCTATTACAACTAGTCATTTTGCCATCCTCCCCCCAACTCATCTGTCCCTCAGTATTTTATTAAAATTAAATAAACACAATCTAACTTGGCTTGCAGCTAGGCTAGGGAGGTGAGAGCCCGCACCCTGCCTTCCTGCCAGCCATCCGCCCGGGCCTGGTTCAACAAGGCGGCTTACCTTGTGGTCTCCCATGCAGACGTTGGGTCCAATGTGGTCGTAGGTGGCCACCTTGTCCTCACTCTCTGACTGGAAGCAAACAGAGAGCAGCATGGTAGGTTGGGGTACACTACGTGCCACTGGGGGATAACAGGTAGGGTTGCAGGGCACACTGGGTGGGTCTGACAAGTGGGGGAGCTGGCCCTGGACAGGCCTGGCCAGGCACCGCAGCTGACCTCTGCTGCCGCAGCATCACACCCCCTGCCCGGGGCTCCCTGTCTGCTGAGCTCTGCACCGGCAGGTGTGGCCGCTCACCCGCTGCACTCGGCCCCACTCCGAGCCTCCTGGCCAAGGGGCTTCACTAACTACAGCAGCATGTCCATTTCCTGCCTTCTGTTTACATTCGTTGACAGCCTGCTCGGTGAACCCAGAGCTCCCCACGCAGGAGCACAGGTGCCGGATGCCACGCACAAGGCCACGCTGCACCTGGATGAGCAGGGCCACGCTCCGGCGGCACCGGCAGGCTTCGGTACTTTGGGCGATGTCAAGGTTTGCTGCCGGCAATCAGTCAGCTCCGAGCAGGCTGAAGTTTTATATCCACAGCTGAAGCTTCCAAGACGATAAAGTTAACACTGAATTATCTTTAATGCAGTAGGAAGCTTAAGGTCAGATTTACTTTCCAGCATGGTTTCCTGCCAGAAAGTATAGAAACATAACCTTCGGCCCCGCACGCACAAACACCTTCCAATCTTTCAGGAGTGCAGGGACATCCATCAAACTCGGCGTGGTAATTTACAAGGCAGCATAAAATTGTGGATTTTCAGCTGCATAATCTTTGGACAGGTAAACAAATGACAGCAGGGCGCAGGCAGGACCCGGCACACCTCGCCAAGCACGCAGCGCCGCGGCACGCTGCCTTCGCTGTTCTGGAGCGCGGTGGGGGTGCCGGAGCGTGGCGTGATGGATGGCACCTCGAGGCTGCTCCCAGCCCCGCCTGCCCCCCTCCATGCCCGCCGCTGGCTGGAGTCCAGGCAAGGCCCGTGGGACTCCCGCTCCACGGTCCTTAGGGGCCAGGAAAGCTTTGCCCTCTGCTCAGAGGAAGAGCAGAGCCAGGCTTCCCACTGTGACTGTGAAGCCAGCACCCGGGGCAGGTGAACACACGAGCAGTCGGTTCAAAGGCTGCCCTCTGTGGAGCTGTGTTTGGACTCCGCACAGCCGCCAGGCCCCCAGTAGCTTTCTACCACCAACTCAAGCCCGCACCGTGTCCTTGCAGGCTTGTCACGAAGCGTAGCGTTTGTGGTTCTAGGTGTTTGCCTCCTGGACGATGCAGTCTCTGTTCTCCCCCGCTGGGCTCCTGGTCAGGCAGGCGACCCATAGCGAGGCAGCCAGTGTGCAAGTCCACCACCTGCCTCCTCCACGTGGCGTGTGCATCAGTCCAGGCCGGGAGGGGAGGCTCATGCCCAGCTTGCCCTGGGTCTGCGGGTTCCTGGCTAGCACCGGCTCAGGCTTGCATGGAGCCCACACGGGTGAGCAGGCTGGACACTTGGCAGGGCACTGGCAGGAGGGCTGCCCAAGGCCCTGGCCCAGCCCACCTCACTCGAGTCCTGCAGACCTAAGTGGGGAGCACCACACTCCTGCCTCCACCCTCCCCTGCAGAGCGCTCTGGGAGAGCAGGTGGAGACGGGGAGGGCCAGGCCTCTGGAGGATGCAGCGGGGGAGGGCAGCAGGGACACAGATGGAGAAGCTCAGGGCAACTGGACTGACCTGGCATGGGGGGGCAGGGGTTGGTGAGGACGCTCTCAGACATGCTGGGACTGGGCTGTGGGGACAGGGCGCTGGAGCACAGAGCTCCAGGCTCACAGCTACCCACATCTCCTGGTCCTGCTAACCCCAGACCAGGCTGGGTTGGACCCTCGGCTCCGCATGGTGAGCAGCAAGATGTCTGTGCTGTGGGGCCCACTGTGTGCCCAGCATGTGCTGTGGGGCCCACTGTGTGCCCACTGCTGACAAGCCGACACAAACCGAACTCTTCTGAAAACACCCCTTTGGGTTAAAACATGGGAGAGAATGGAATCCCCTGGTAACCCTATGAAAGTGGGCAAGTTCCCAGCTCTGAGAACACCATGGTCCCCCCAGGCCTGTCCAGCCCAGATGCAAGCCTGGGTCTCACAGCCGGAGCAAGGGAGAGGACGGAGGCTCTGCCGCCCTCCGAGGCCATGGGCTCCACAGGTCTGACAGACTGTAAGGTGGTGGCCCTCCCCCTCCCCCTCGTCCCCTCCTCTCCCTCCCCGGCCTGAGCAAGGACCAGTGCGAGGTCAGTGCTCACCCAGGAGGGTGGCGTGCCGCCCACATGGCCGTAGAGCTGTTCTCGGCCTCCACTGACCTTGAGCACCAGCTCCTTGGCAGACAAGGACATGAGGATGCGGTCACACCACGCCGGGCAGCGGGTGCTCATGTACTGCTGGCCCTGGCTGGGGTCCTCGCTGTACGGGTAGCTGTGGAGACAAAGAGGCGGTTTTAGGCGCACCCTCACCCTGGCCGTCCTTGGGTCCAGAAGGAAGGACCACGCTGTCCAAGGAGAGAGTGCACACAGACCCTCCACGGCAGCCACTGGCACAACCTGTCTTCACGGCAAACCCGGCTCTCCTCCAGTGCTGCTACGGGCAGCTCAGGCCCGGCGTCCACTCACTCTGCTGACCACAGTTCCTATCAGGCATGACCATGGGGGTCACTGTCCATGGCTTGCTGCCCCTGAGACCCTGTTCAGCCCTTTGAAGGTGGGGCTCCAGCCAGTGACCACTGCCTTCTTGCTGGGTCTTCTGACCATCGCAGTGAGCCCTCCCCACCTCACCCTGTTCAGCCCTTTGAAGGTGGGGCTCCAGCCAGTGACTGCTGCCTTCTTGCTGGGTCTTCTGACCATTGCAGTGAGCCCTCCCCACCTCACCCTGTTCAGCCCTTTGAAGGTGGGGCTCCAGCCAGTGACCGCTGCCTTCTTGCTGGGTCTTCTGACCATCGCAGTGAGCCCTCCCCACCTCACCCTGTCCATGCCACAGGTACACACCACCTCACCCACGGGGTCAGTCTGGCATAGCTCAGCCTGGCCCGGGGTGTCCCCACGGGCACTGCCCGCCTCCACACACCACAACCCCTGGGTAGAGTCCTCACGCAGGCAGACAATCCAGATCTGAGGAGACCACATGTCTTATGTCTACGTCTGGGGAGAGTAGCCCTGGTTCAGGACGCAGCGTCCTGTCAGAGCTGTGTGCAGTGTCAGAGCTGTGTGCAGTGTCAGAGCTGTGTGCAGTGTCCTGTCAGAGCTGTGTGCAGTGTCAGAGCTATGTGCAGTGTCAGAGCTGTGTGCGGTGTCCTGTCAGAGCTGTGTGCAGTGTCAGAGCTGTGTGCAGTGTCAGAGCCGTGTGCAGTGTCAGAGCCGTGTGCAGTGTCAGAGCCGTGTGCAGTGTCAGAGCTGTGTGCAGTGTCAGAGCTGTGTGCGGTGTCCTGTCAGAGCTGTGTGCAGTGTCAGAGCTGTGTGCAGTGTCCTGTCAGAGCTGTGTGCAGTGTCGAGCAGAGCTGTGTGCGGTGTCCTGTCAGAGCTGTGTGCGGTGTCCTGTCAGAGCTGTGTGCGGTGTCCTGTCAGAGCTGAGTGCAGTGTCAGAGCTGTGTGCAGTGTCCTGTCAGAGCATGGAGCAGTGTCCTGTCAGAGCAGGAAGCAGTGTCATCTCAGAGGCTGTCCCGGTGAGTACCAACTCACCCCACATGGGCATTGTGCTTAGACTGTGCTGTAGTAACAAGTGAGCTCCCCTGAGAACAACTGGTCTGGTGTGGGCACCTCAGGGCTTTTTGACAGGTCCAGCCTGGGAAGGGCACTGCACTGGATGCCACTAGGGAGGGCACTGTAGGGCTCTTTGCCTAGGTCTGTCTTCCCTACCCCAGGGCGTCCACAGTGCTTTTAGGGCCTTCGATGTCTAGACCCTGCACAACCATCCTTTTAGTCGAATGTTCCTCTCTGGTCGCCCAAAGCCAACAGTGTTGAGGAGGGTGTCCTAGCCCCACAAGTCTGCTGTCCTTAGTAGAAGGAATGAGGCTGTTTTCCAGTCTGAAGCTGTCAGAGCTCCTGTCAGGGTTAATTGTGGTCCTTCGCCTCCTGCAAGCCCAGCCACGCTCTTGCTGGTCTCCCCGATGTGATACCTTGTAGAATGCACTTCCTGCCTGTTCACCAAGGGGGAGCCCACAAACATTCACAGGAGCTGTAGCCTTGGTCTCTCAAAGGACTAAAGACCTTACCTGGTGTTTGCTTACATGGTATTTTTAAAGAATACTGAAATGGCAGGTTCACTTGCTAAGTGTTTCTCTACCCTGGGCATGGATTCTGGAGAAATGAACCTTGACCCCTGGTAGAAGCTGCCTGTCTGGGACTCAGGCTGGGCCCCACATGGGATGGAGGAGCATGCAGGTGACAGACAGTGTGTCAGTGCAAGGGACAGGGTGGAGGAGCGTGCAGGTGACAGACAGTGTGTCAGTGCAAGGGACAGGGTGGAGGTGTTTGCAGGTGACAGACAGTGTGTCAGTGCAAGGGACAGGGTGGAGGTGTTTGCAGGTGATGGAGCCCCAGGCAGGTGCAGGCCAGGTGGGAAGCAGGCAGGATTGCGCAGCAGGGCTTCCCATAGGTAGGCTGGGAGGCCCTCACAGGGGTAGGCAGCAGGGCCAGGCCCAGGCACGGGGCCTTTCCTGGCAGAGAGGCTGATCTTTCCTGGCTTGTCCGCACACCCCGGGACAGCTTCTCACTTCGCTGGCCTCGGCTGTCTACAGCATCCCAGCTGACCCTTCTGTGGGGCCTAGGGAGCCACATGCTGCTCACCGTCTCTGACCCCGTGGCTGTCCCTGTGTCTTCAGACTTGGGTCTGGTGTGCACTTCACACACTGCCAATGTGAGACCAACCTAAACCACCTCACTGCAAAGTGCCAATTTGGAAGGGAATCATCCGGAGCCACCACCCTGCCCTTAGAACCCGGTCTCCCCAGCACAGCTCTGATGCTGAAGCTGCAGTGGGCCCACGGCCCAGGGCCTCAGACACCCCTGACATCATCCTGTCCAGACAAGCTCATGCTAACTTTGCCACCTCCCGAGCAGTGAGGATTATAGTCGCCACACCCGGCTCTGCAGCTCACTTTTACATGCACTTGTAGATGAAGGCATTCTAGTCCCCAAGCACAATCAGCGTGGAATGGCCTGTCTGGATCCCTTCCGTCTGTGAATAAACACAGGACTTTGGACACAGCAGGTCCCCAAGTCAAGGCCAGGAAGTGGATTTCCTGTGTAGATGTTAGAACTCAGCCCAGGGCCCTTGGCACTGCTGGGGCTCAGGACCAACCCCGGCTGCCCAGAGAGGTCCGCAGGTGGACAGGTGTTCTGACCAGGGTCAGAAGCAGGGCCTGGCTGTGTAGGCTGGGGTGCTCTCTGTGCGGGGAACCTGACATCAAAGAATGGAAGCCGACACCACGTAGGAGGCCACCTGGGTCCAGAGGCCGTGCGTCCCATCCCCTCCTACACTCGGAGCCTGTCCACCGGTGATTAATGTGGGCTGCACGGCGCACCACTTATCTGGAAGCAAATCCACGGGTGCGACAGGACAAGCCGGCCCTATCTCGGCCCGCTCGGCTCCCGGGACAATCGCTGTAATTAATTGCAGTGGTGATAAAATTAACAATTACCCACCTGTGCTCCTCAGCTGCCCCCCCCCGGCCCTGCACAGCCTGTCAGGATGCGGGCAGGCACCCCTGCACAGCCCCTCAGGATGCGGGCAGGCACCCCTGCACAGCCCCTCAGGATGGCGGGCAGGCACCCCTGCACAGCCCCTCAGGATGCGGGCAGGCACCCCTGCACAGCCCCTCAGGATGCGGGCAGGCACCCCTGCACAGCCCCTCAGGATGCGGGCAGGCACCCCTGCACAGCCCCTCAGGATGCGGGCAGGCACCCCTGCACAGCCCCTCAGGATGTGGGCAGGCACCCCTGCACTGCACAGCCCCTCAGGATGCGGGCAGGCACCCCTGCACAGCCCGTCAGGATGCAGGCAGGCACCCTGCACAGCCCCTCAGGATGCGGGCAGGCACCCCTGCACAGCCCCTCAGGATGCGGGCAGGCACCCCTGCCAGCCCCTCAGGATGCGGGCAGGCACCCCTGCACAGCCCCTCAGGATGCGGGCAGGCACCCTGCACAGCCCCTCAGGATGTGGGCAGGCACCCCTGCACTGCACAGCCCCTCAGGATGCGGGCAGGCACCCCTGCACAGCCCGTCAGGATGCAGGCAGGCACCCCTGCACAGCCCCTCAGGATGCGGGCAGGCACCCCTGCACAGCCCGTCAGGATGCAGGCAGGCACCCCTGCACAGCCCCTCAGGATGCGGGCAGGCACCCCTGCACAGCCCCTCAGGATGTGGGCAGGCACCCCTATGCTGGCTGATTGTTTGCTTGTCGCTGGCCCAGCCCCAGTGACAAGGCCCAGCCCAGACCTGGTGGCTAGGCTCTGACAGCGTGACCACAGCCTGGTAGCCACCACGCTTGGGAAGCACAAAGCTGGCTGTGTTTGAGTATCGCAGGGAAGGGGGGAGGGGGGAGAGGAGAGCCAGCCCAGTCTGCCATCCAGATGCAACCCCCGCTCCTCTTCAACTACAGGAGGGAGAGCAAGGGGCTGTGCTGTGTCCCTGGGAGAAAGCGGGGAGGGGAGAGGAAGTTCTGTCTGATTTCACCTGCAAAAATGCCCCGGCTCCCTCTCCAGCCCCCGTGCAGCTCCTCTGCGACACTGATCCTTTGAAAGCACCTGCCTGCAAGGGTAATTCACCGTCACCATGTTCCTGACCTACCTGCCCACAGCAAGTGCACTGCTAAAAGAACGCCTACACTCATGGGAGACCCAGAGTCTCAGCGAACATACACATGAGCGTGCATGCACGTGCACACACGTGTGTGTGTGTGTGTGTGTGTGTTGTGTGTTCCAGGGATGGGGCTTCAACTCAGTACCCAGGCACTGTGCCTGAGCTATTTGCTCAAGGTTAGTGCTCTACTCCTTGAGCACCAGTTCCTCTTCTGGCTGTCTTTTGGTCTAGCCTGGGCTGGCTTCAAACTGTAGTCCTTATATTGCAGTCTCTCCTGAGTAGCTGGGATTACAGATGTGTCACCAGCGCCCGGTTTTAAAGACTGCTGAAAGGAAAAAAGAAACAAACCCTAAAACCAAAGAAAAAGAACTGAGCAATAAGAGCAGTGGCTAACTGGAATTACTAAATGGAAGAATTTGGTGGTTGAGTGGCGCCCTGGAGGCGGGGCTAGCGATGCCACGTCAGCCCTGGTTCCCTCACTGCAGCTCCCGGCGCGGCTGTCACTCACCGACCCTCCTCCTCCTCAGCTCCCTCTCCATAGGACAAGCAAGGCTAGAGGGCTGTCCTGCCCCGTCCCACCCCCGCCCTCTTTCACGTCAAAGTGCAAACACACAGAGCTGCGGGCACTGGGTGCCCACGCAGCATGTGGCAGGTCTGTCTGGTCCTGTGGTTTGAGATTTGTCCTCGCAGGGGCAGCAGCCCTGGCAACTCATGCACAGACACGCCCTTCCACCCAGAGTCCTTCCCACTGCCAGTCAGGTAGGCTGTGCAGCATCAGGCTAGTGCTGGGGGAGGGCGGCCAGGGGGAGTGGGGCTCCTCAGGGGTTCAGAGGGAAAGCTGCCCAGCATCACAGCAGCAAGTGGTTTCTGTGCTGCGCCATGAGGTGCAGGCCAAGGTGGAAAAGGAGAGGTGCCACCGTAGAACCAGCAGCACCAGCGGGGCAGCCTGTGGTCTACACATGCCTTGACCAAGCAGTGTGCTTATGCAGTGAGCACCGAGCGTGGTTCCACGGGAGAAGACGCAAGCTCCGCAGAATGTCCTGTGAAGGCCAGGTGTGTCACTGGTGCTGGGGTTTCCACTGGTTGCAGATCGACAGTACATGTGCCACTCTGCAGCATGCATGTGTATGTGCCATGCTGCAGTGCTGGTGTATGCGTGTGTGTCACTCTGCAGTGCTGGTGTGTGTGCCACTCTGCTCTGCTGGTGCGTGTGTGAGCAGCTGCAGTGTTGGTGCGTGTGTGTACCAGTCTGCAGTGCTGGTGTGTGTGCACCACCTCACTCTGCTCTGCTGGTGCGTGTGTGAGCTGCTGCAGTGTTGGTGCGTGTGTGTACCAGTCTGCAGTGCTGGTGTGTGTGTACCACCTCACTCTGCAGTCAGCCTGGTGGACAGTGAGGTCACTGGGGTGGCAGGGTCTCCCAAGGAGGGCACCGGTGACCTGGCTCTCTGGAGAACAACTGATAGTCTTGGCTTCCAAACACAAATCCAAGCTGTCAGGAAAAATCCAGTTTTAGAAAATGCATTTTGTCCCAGGAGCCTGATGGCACTTCCTGTGAAGACCTGTCTGCGGAGGTCGGGGCGTCCTGGCCAAGGGCTGCTGGGCGAGGCACTGACACACAGCACCTGTGGCTCCCAAACCCAGACCCTGCTCCGAGTGGAGGCCAGTGGTTCTCCATGGTCCGAACCCGCCCCGGCAGCAAGGTCTGGAAATCACCACAGGAGGGAGGACAGCCTGGCCTGGGGTGGTCAGCACACTTCCCTCAAGGCCCCGAGGGCTCCCGTCTGGGCACTGGCTGGCTCTACACAGTAGCTGCCACCCACCAAGCCAAACGGCGCATGGCTCACACTGTCATCCTAGCTTCTGTGAAGGCTGAGGTCTGAGAATCAGGATTTGAAGCCAGCCCAGGAAGGAAAGAAGACTCTTCTCTCCAATTAACCACTAAAAAACCCAGAAGCGGAGCTGTGGCTTAAGTGGTAGAGCGTTGAGCATAAAAGGTCAATGACAGTGCCCAGGTCTCAAGTCCAAGTCCCAGGAGTGGCACCAAAATAAATAAGTAAACACATACATACATAAAATAAATAATAAATGTGAAACACTGTTACTCTAACTTTTGGGGGGAAGTAGTTTTGCATTAACATCTTACTCATGCAGAAACAAGATGTCCAGACGTCACAGGGGGAACATGCAGGCCTCCGATGGGAAGTTCTGCACACTGGGCCCAGACCTCAACCCTGCCAAAAGCGGCCACCTGGACAGGCTGGAGGTTTGCGCCAGGCCAGCAGGAGGGCAGGCAGAGCAGGGTGCTGGGCCTAGCTGGCTGCAGGTTGGGAGCCTCAGTGACAGCCAGGATCCCGGGGGTGCTCAGAGCCTTGTTCCCTGGTGACAAGGGATGGAGATGGCTCACAGCAAAGGGCACAAGCGTGCACCAGTGTGCAGGCTCCAAGCCTCACACCACCCGGACCTCTGTGTTTGACACGGCTCCAAGCCTCACACCACCCGGACCTCTGTGTCTGACACGGCTCTACGCATTTCAGCCTGCCTGGGAGAGCTGTTTGGGGGGGCTCAGCTCAAGGCTTCTAAACCAAAGACAAGGGGTCCGCCCGACAGGCCTGGGAGGTCACGAACCCCCAGGTCACGCAGTCCTCAACCAGCCCCGGCTGGTCTGGGTGTCTGCAACCCTCAAAGACACAAGCCGCCCCCTGGGCAGCGGCCCACCACAGAGGGCACAGAGTCCGCTTCCTGTGTGGGACAGGGCCCTCTCCCAACATGGCCATGCTGGGCTACCGGGCACAAAGCGGCCCAGGCAGAGGGTCAAAGGCCAAGTGGCTGTCAGGCTCATTCCAGAGGTACAACTGCGTGTTCGGAGGCAAAGACCCTGTGCTTACTGTCAGGCAAGCACAGAGTGTGCAGGGGTGAAGTGTGCAACGCAGGTGCTACCCATGCAGGCACAGCCCAGTGCCCCGACAACCCAGCATGCTCTGCACCTGGGTGGTGGGATTTGAGGCAGGAGAAGGAAGCCGAGAAGGGCCCAATGAGGCCCGTGCCATGACAGCGTCCCTGTCCCCTGCCACGGCGGCGTTCCTGTCCTGTGAGAACTAGTGCTATTGCTGCAGACTGAAGATTCCATAAATACCAGAACAAAACTCAGTAAACGCCTATCTGCCAGAGGAACACCTCACCCCTCCCGCTCCCCAGCATGGTGGCCAAGGAGATGGCAGCCCCCAGACCCTACCCCTGCAAATCTAACATAACCTACCTTGTACCCTGGAAAAGCACTTTAAAATGAAATTACACAATTTATAAATACTTTCTTTCAGACCATAGAAAGAGAGGGAGGAGGTATAAGTAACACACAATGCATGCATGCACACACATGTACAGAGGCACACGTTCCCACGGACCACACACAGATGCAGAGACACACGCACACACGGAGGCGCAGGCAAGCCAGCCTGAGAGGAAAGATGGGAGGCCGCCCACGCCAGCAGGCACAGTGCTCCTTACCTTGGGGGGAATGAGATGTCCAGTTCATACAGTCTGTCCTTGAAGACAGACAGCTCCTTGTCAAACTCCAAAAGCTAAAGAAAAAGAAGACCAAGTCACTGGCTGTCCTTGCCAGGCCGTGGCAGTCTTTAGAGCTGGGGTAGTTGTGATCCCTGAAGTCAGCAGGGTCAGCCCCACTGCTCTCTCAGCCACTAGGCCACAGAAAGACCCGGGTGCCACTTGGCCGTACGGTGCGGCAGCTGCTTGGGGGTAGGCGTACCTGCAGCTCACCTGAGGCACAGGCAGGTCAGCCCAAGTGGGGCCCTGCAGCCTTCCCCAGCAGAAATGACAGCTCCCACTGTACCCAGAGCAACTCTCTGAATGAATCACAAAAACGGTCCCACAGGTGGGTCCAGCAGCTCATGCCTGCAATTCTAGCCAGCCAAGAGGCAGAGATGGGGGAGATTACGGTTCAAGGCCAGGCTTAGCAGAGTTAGCTAGATTCCATCTCAAAGAATAAGCCAGTCTATAATCCCTGTTACAGGGGAGGAAGAGACAGGGAGAGTATAGGCTCCAAAGAACAAGACCTTATCTGAAAAATAAGACAAAAAGGACTCGGGCTGTGGCTCAAGTGGTAGAGCATCTGCCAAACATGCACAAGGCCCTGAGCTTCCCTCTGTTTGCAGGATTCTGAACCCTCTTTGATCCAATCACGGTTGTTCTGCAGCCATGACATGGGCTGCGCATACAGTCCTGCTGCAAACCTGGCCGTTCCCAGGGTTGCTGTAGGTTCTTCTGCTCACACTTGGTGCTCTAATATTTCACCGTGAGGTAGAACCTCTCCGTCTTCCTGCTCAGGACTGTCTCCTGGTGATCTGTCCCGTGGACAGCTATGGGAACAGAGCCAGGCAGCTCCCATTGGATGAGTGGTAGGCTCTGGCCCGCCCCCCCCTGTCTCTAGAGCTCACTTCGGCCTCGCTCACCCAGAGCTTAAGTGCTGCCCTGGGCCACAACTCAGCCCACTGTCCAGTTCCTAAATCCTTTCTTCTCCTGTGTCCACCCATGACTGTTTTCTGGTGTGCTGATCTTTTTTTTTTTATCACAGTGGGACTCATGTTCATATGCTTTCATCTTTTCAACTGTCGAAAGCTCTAAGACATATTATAAACTATGAAGCTATCATGTGACTGCTGCCAGTGGTTCAACCACTGTCAAGGTTCAGCACCGCCCCTCAGATTGTGGAGGGTGGAGCCGGTCTGTACTCTGCAATGGAGATGTGCAAGGCCATTTCTAGTGACCCAAAGGCAGGCTGCTGTTTGGAAGACCCAGGGATAGGAAACAGCAGGCAAGGCGCCTCAAAGTTATAGCGTGGAGACAGACTCTTCTCCTCTTCTCTTTTCTTTATGCTCTGAAGAAAATTCCCAAGAACCTCACACATTTCCCAGGCCTCACTTCCACAAAGGGCCAGGGCAGAAGCCCTGCTCTGTGTGACTGGTCCCAGCTGCGACTGGACATAGCGAGCCCCTGCTGGCCTCACCACTCCTGCTGGGCAGGGGCCACAGGAACGGCTGGCAGGCTGTGCAGAAGGAACCCCGGACTACTGCACGTGGTCAGAGGAGACCAGGGTCAGGATTCACAAGGGGCCTGTGGGCTGGGCACAGGCTGCCCTGGGGCTCCTTCATCTCGTTCGTGGCACGGAGGAAAGCCTGCAGAAGCTAGCCTCCTGGTCCATCCTGTGCACACAGAAAGCTCCACATGCTGCCTCAGCAGCACCATGGAGACCACAGGGTGACCAGAGCTGTGCCCTGAGCCTCCTTAGCGACCACGCACTCACTGCCCAGTCCACACACACACACTTGCTTTAACGGTCAGGTGAGGCTCAGTGCACGCTGCCTGATGGCATGCTCATCCTCTAAGAAGCCTCCAACAACCCAAAGCCACCTCAGAGCGCCTGCCCAGGCTCAGGGCCTGCTCCTCAAGTGGCCAGGGCCTCAGTCAGGCCTCAGACTGACATGCCAACATGGACACTATCCACTATGGAAAGGACAGTTGTGAGGGCAGGCCTGAAACTTCCAACTAAAAAGCAGACGCACAGCAAACGTGCAAGGCTTTAATAAGCAAAACGTCATGCAAATTACGGGGAATGAAGTGGGAAGGCCTCCGGCTCACACCAGCGCACCATCACACAACAGCTCACACTCAGTGTGCCAACCCCAGGCCAAAGGACATGTCCTGGTGACCTGCCTTTACCACCTGAGGTAACACGCCTTCCATGACGCCCTGCCGCCTTCCCATCACGTGGCTGTCTACACGCCTTCCATGACGCCCTGCTACCTTCCTCATCACGTGGCTGTCTACACGCCCTCATCACGTGGCTGTCTACACGCCTTCCACAGGACGCCCTGCTGCCTTCCCCATCATGTGGCTGTCTACACGCCTTCCATGACGCCCTGCTGCCTTTCCCCATCACGTGGCTGTCTACACGCCTTCCATGATGCCCTGCTGCCTTCCCCATCACGTGGCTGTCTACACGCCTTCCATGACGCCCTGCTGCCTTCCCCATCACGTGGCTGTCTACACGCCTTCCATGACGCCCTGCTACCTTCCCCATCACGTGGCTGTCTACACGCCTTCCATGACGCCCTGCTACCTTCCCCATCACGTGGCTGTCTACACGCCTTCCACAGGACGCCCTGCCGCCTTCCCCATCACGTGGCTGTCTACACGCCTTCCACAGGACGCCCTGCTGCCTTCCCCATCACGTGGCTGTCTACACGCCTTCCACAGGACGCCCTGCCGCCTTCCCCATCACGTGGCTGTCTACACGCCTTCCATGACGCCCTGCCGCCTTCCCCATCACGTGGCTGTCTACACGCCTTCCATGACGCCCTGCTGCCTTCCCCATCACGTGGCTGTCTACACGCCTTCCATGACGCCCTGCAGTGACAAAGTGCCTTTCCCATGCCAGTGCTCACCAGGCATCAGCTGAATGCCAGAAGCTGGCTGGCTTTGAACAAATCCTTCACATTTTTGCCCTCCTGGACTTCCCATCTAATGGGAGTGAGGAAAGTTACTGTGACAGCCACACAGACAGATGTAAACCTGCTCTGCGAGTAGAGGGTGGTCACGTTGGGCCCTGGGCCCTGATCTGTCAGTGGGCTCTGACAGGCCAGCAGAAGCCTCCCCCCATGAATGGCGTGGCGAATGCTGAAGGCTCCAGACTTCCACATCAACATGAAACGATGGGAGTTAAAGCCATTGCTGCCACTGGCACAAAATGCCAGATGTGGCGTCTAACTGAAAATTACTGTTGCCTCTCTGTCGAATTGATCCTTTGTATCTGTTTGAGATTTTTCACAAACACCGTAACCAATTTCACATGTATCTTAAACATTCTTCTTGATTACAAAGTGAAAAGCAGCCAGGCCAGTGTATGGACAATGATAAAGCAGCTGCTGGTCATACGTATCTGTCAGGGGCGTCCCAGCTGCACAAATTCCACAGTTGTTGCAGAGACTGCACTGATAAAGAAAAAAGAGCCTAGAAAATCAATGCGCCTGAGCTGGGTGGTTGCTAACCACACAGACAACATCTCCATCCAACAGGCCCAGCACCTCAAGATTCCCAAGCCCTGCCCTGGGACAGCGAAGGAAAATTTAATCTCTCCAAACCCTCACCAGGGCACTCCATCCTGCATCCCTGACAGCCACACTTACAATTAATTATACAATTTCGATGGGAATATCGACTAAACAAAGCTATAAATCATAGAAAAAGTCAATAGGCATGGACACATTCAATCATGTCCCGGCCAATGATTACTACTCTTAAAATACAATAATTATTTTCAGAAGCCAGCTTGAATTAAATTTCTGTCAGACAAGTACAAGACCGGTGGTTGATGAAGGGTGCGATGGGTTTTGGGGCAGAGTCTGGCACAGGTGCATCCATCTACGCAGGGCAGCTTGCTTCCAGTGTTTGTGGGACCACGTGGATGGCCAGACCGTGAGAATGAGATGATCTCTGTGCTCACTAGGCCGTTTATTTTGCCCCTCCCGGCTGATTCTGAACAGCAGAGACCTCACACAGGGAACCTCCAGGGCCGGCTGGTGTGTTGGGGGACCCTGGGCGCCTCTGGAGGTGTGTGCCTCAGGACTGGATGGCCACGCTGAGTCCAAACCCCATGCTCTGCCTGTGAGGCAGAGCTGCCCCAACCCGGGGCTCCCCACCTGAGTCCAAACCCCATGCTCTGCCTGTGAGGCAGAGCTGCCCCAACCCGGGGCTCCCCACCTGAGTCCAAACCCCATGCTCTGCCTGTGAGGCAGAGCTGCCCCAACCCGGGGCTCCCCATCTTTCCACGCGGGCACAGGTCCTTCCCAAACCACCCCTGGAAACTCTCCTCTATTCCAACGCAGCCTCAAGATAACAAGTTCTCTTGAGTGTTCAAATGGATGTTCTTTTCATATGTCACACTGCATACACAGAATGTTACTGGGTACAGTAGAACAGGGTCAATCTGCTAAGAGAACCACACAGCCTTTGGACCCACAGAAGACACCCCCAGAAAGGTGTGTGTGTGTGTGTGTGTGTGTGTGTGCATGTGCTCACATGCCGGTTTGGGGATTGAACTCAGGGCTGGGCACCATCCCTAAACTTAGGTGCTCAACCATTTGAGTCCCTTCTGGCTTTTGGGGGGCTTAATTGGAGACCAGAGTCTCACAGACTTCTCTGCCTGGGCTGGCTTTGAATTGTGACCCTCAGATCTCAGCCTCCTGAGTTGCTAGGATTACAGGCCTGAGCTACAAGCTCTGCACCAGCTCAAGTTGTCTCCCCTCAGTTACTGGAGCCTGCTCACAGTGACCACAGTGTTCTGTCCCTATGGCTCCAGCGCTGTCCCGGACCCTCCACTTGCTTCCTGCTTGAACACCATTTTCCAGGCTCTACTGGGAGTCCCAGAACACCCCACCTCCCAAAGGCTGTCCTCTGCTGGAGTGCAGGACACTGTCCTGTTCAAGCAGACAGTAGGAAGGATGGCGTGGCACTGCTCCACAAGTAAGACTCCCCAGTGGACTGCAGAGATGAGTGTGTGGAGGGGGCACTGTGACCCAGGGGGGCGGAGGGAGGAAGAGGAGGAGGAAGAGGTACTGTGACCCCAGGGGGGGTAAGGAGGAAGTGGAGGGGGCACTGTGACCCCAGGGGGGCGGAGGGAGGAAGAGGAGGAGGAAGAGGTACTGTGACCCCAGGGGGGGTGAGGAGGAA